TCCATTCTTTTTCTTAAATTAATAAATTACATTCTGTTACGATTCTGTGGTTAGGTTAATTATATTCATGCTGATCACGTGCGCATAAATTAAAATGGCATCAAACCACAAACCCACGCGGTGTCTGCAGCTGGATTTTGTCTGCCATTTCTTCTCTAGTGATGGGCGATATGGCCAATTTTCTTAATTTTCGATAACGATCGATATTAGACTTTTAAAGGAAATATCAATTATTAACGATACAATAACCACACCTTCATTTTGGGGGTGTGTCAAGGGTGTGGCTAATGATTTTGGCACAGATATAACTGTACTTGTCATGAGAGAAGATCATTTTCATGCTCTTGAGCTTGATTCTCTTCTGATTGGGGTAGGCTGAGCTAACAACTGGTCAGTTGCTTCTTTCTTGCAGTTCAACAGTGCAATTACTTATTAAAATTAATTATTTAGCCTTAATAAATGGGCGTGGTCAATAGATCGATGAAAATTGCATAAAAATTTCAATAATGATTCAAATCGATTCCGTAAAATATCGTTTATATCGATAAAGAATCGATATATCGCCCATCACTATTCTTCTCTGTCCTCGCTTCTTTTTGAAACTACCTTTGTGGTCCTTGACCCAAGCCTAGAGGAATGATGTAAAAGCCAACTCGAGCGCTTCTCTGGCTTAAAAGATTAACGGGTGCATAGAAGAAGATGAAAGAAGAAAAAGCCTGAAGAATTTTGCAGAAATTTAAATTTGGGCCTATTCTCCAGAATTGCTCCCGCTACATTACAGTCCACTTTAAAGGTACCAGGAGAATCGCTCAGTGAAGGAGAGCTCATTTAAGCCATTTATAAGGCTGTACAACGAAAGATAAAAGAGTTATAAGTGTTTGAAAATCATAAAAATGGCCGCCATCTTGAAAAACCAACCTCAATCCTACTTATAGGCTACCGCCTATATAATAGTTCAAGATGACAGACAGTATAATTTCATGAAAATTAAATTTGCAAAATAGATTTTTAGGCAAATTTTAAAAATTTACACCCCTCAAAAATTTTTGCTGTACTGTACATGATAGTGGTTTACAGAAAGTCTTTATGGATTGCTTCTCTGATACTACATCACCAAAAAATGGCCTAAGTAAAATCCAGTTTTGAAATTTATAGTTACAAAATTCTTTGACTCAAGTTACATGTATATCTTCCACTGGACTGCAACACACATGTACATAGGGTTACAAGCTTACTTGTTGTGAAGTTTTATTGTATGCTCTTTTTCTTCATACCAAAGTGTATCATAAAATTTCTTTTGATAGTTTTCAGTACTGAGTTCTTGTCTTAGACCAGGAACAGGTTTAGCTTTTAATCTTTCCTCATAAATAGCTTGCCATGGGCGTTCCATGTCTTTTGGCGGATTATTACTTTTCTTATATTTGGGAATACAAGGCTCTAAAATAAATAACATAATAAAACCACACACATACACATACATGTACCGTATTTTACCAATTAAACGCCCAGGCGTTTATTTCTTAGCAGCAAGAAAAATTTCATTTAAGTAAATAAAAAAGATACTTCGAGCGATACAGAACCCCCAACTCTGTGCAAGTCAGACCAGGCTCTAACTAATAAGCACTTTGGAAATATTTAAAGGGACTTGGTAAAAGCGGGGTGGGGATGGGGATGGGGAGCGGGATTTCATCGGTAAAAGCGGGGTGGGGATCTGGATATTGGGAGCAGCTTTTCATCGCCGGTAAAAGAAGGATCAGACATAGGATCAAAATAATGAAGACAGGGACAAGTCTGCAACTGGCAATGGTCTACTTGCAGTCAAGGCTCTATAGATCTATATGAATTCATTTTGCAAGCCTGGACAGTATTATTCTAAGCAGAAGACCTGCATGCATGAGTAGGCAGGCTTTTGATCTATTTTTATGAAGTAGAAATTTTAATTCATAATATTTTAAGTTTTTCACTGTAAAATATATTAGCATCTTTATGTGACATGCCAC